GGAAACCGGCCAAACCATTTGCGTTCTTATCGATGTTAATTTAATACCCTCTGGTTTTATGCATAATAATTGCAACCTAGTTATTCGTTCCTTCGGTTAAAATAATTGTCAAATTATTATATATACAGATAGAGTTTAACCCTTCTTATCGGTAGAAAAACTTTCGTCTTTATCCCTTCACCCTTATCACAATTGATAATACAATGTTTTAGTAATTCAATTCCGACCAAACCAGCCTTTTCAACGTCTTAAGATCACGTTAAAACGCAAGAACACTAAGTAACTGTTGAAAAGCTACGGGGCGATGGACCACTCTGACCCTGCTGAATATTTATAAGCCGCTTCAGGGGGTGGAAAGAAAAAAGGTTATCGTAAAGTGTACCTTGGAGATCCTTGTCGGAAGGAGCGCACGCAGGTTGAATAAAACAAGGGGGTTATATCGCGATACGATATCGAGCTTTGCCTCATAATTCCTTGTTCGATGATGGTTACGGGCGGCGCGGCTCGGTGCGGTGGGGCTGGTGTGCATCGGAATACGGTGGAATTAAAACTGGAGGCGTTCAGCCTTATTTTTAGCTGCCGATACGAGCACTCGACGAAATTGCCAATCTACACTTTCACCGATCGTGATTAAATATTAAATTTAACTTGGAGAGCCCGATCTCCTTTTCGAGCATCCTCGACGAAACGAAGAGAATTATTCATTCGGAGAAAGTAGTTTATAAACTGTCGCTCAAAGGTACTTTCTCGCTGTTATTATGTTTGCATTATTAACGCAAGTATTAGGAAGTGACATTTATTTGTAACGTTAGGACTTTGAAATAATTGCACCAGTGCCAGGGGTACAACCATAATTATCCGATAACCGGAGCAATATTCATTCTATAACTTCTGCATCATTCCAAGGCAATCGTAATATAAATACAATGTACGATAATCTACACATGGTGTAACAGATAATTTATTGAATATTCGAAATCGCGTTAAATTCGCTGGGAATACGGGTCCTGCCGGAATTAATAACGCGAAACGAAGCACGAGCTTGCTCGCTGGCCAGTGTAAAGCTTTTAGCGTGGTGGTAAATTTATTAGGATCACACTAACCGAGGTATGCGCACGTTCGTGTGGCTGTTCATCGGTGACCGGAGAGAAATACTTAAAATTTAACGATCCTCTGTCTGATGATCACCTCGAATATATAGAAAACCGCACAAAATATCCGTACCCTTCCAAATGGATAATCTTTCGTAAACGTAATTGAAATTTCTCCGCAGAGTATCGAGTTTACCAGTTCGAGTTTATCCGATCAAATGGTCGGATTTCTTAAATTCGCAATGTCACGCAAGCTTTCATGCCTTCAATTGCCATGCGTGCAAGCAACCAAGGGCAAGGACAATCACCTTGCGGTATTTAGATCGAATTACTTCGTCCTCGGTACGTGTTCGGTGAACTTGTAGGCGATCACGTGCTGTTACCGAAGTGAGAATTTCTCGACATGAAATCGTATTCAAAATTCATCGTAATCTTTGTTACGATGCAATTGGATCGCAATAAAGTCTGAATCTCCTTTAATTTTAACACACTTTTTTTTCTTATTAAGAAACTCGAATAGGGATGCTATTAAATTAAGCGACTATAGTTCCTCGAGTTTCCCGAAAATCCGATAGATTAAGATAAGCTGGATAAATGGAAGGCAAGAGCCTGAGTCGATGTGTATATACATGACCAGTGGCTTGTATAGTGGTTTTCACGTGAAATTGAACGGCGAATTTATAGTTCCATCTTTCTACATTATCGTTATTCCCTATTTTAGAATTCATTCATTCTCCGCACCGAAATATCTCAAACTCGGAACCGAAACTGGGGAAGAAATATCGGAAGAAACAAAAATATCGGTACTTGAATGCTTAAATGAAATTATAATAAATATTAACTGTTAAACCCAAACTCGTCAAAATTTCCTAGTCCCCCGTAAATACCATTCAAACATAGAAGAACCTAACAGCTCGACGTATCTCAATTTCCAATTATCCGATCACAATTATTTGTCGAACCGAAAGCATTCGATCTGAAACTCGGCTCGTCTGATTCGACGTGCTTTAATTCTCTAGATGGATCCTGGTGTACAAGTGTGGCGGTTAAACGCGACGGCGACCTTTTCAAAATGTCAGCGAACGTTATAGACAGTTAACCAGGAGGAGGAGGAGGAGGAGGAGGAGAACAAATACACGGCGACCCTCTTTCCATGTCTTCTATCCTTCAGGGGATTAAAGTTATGATTACGAGCACCCGGGTGCCAAAGGATATAAATTTTAAAGCCGCTTCTTGTCGCACGTTCGACGGAACAGCGATATTGGAAACTTTCACAGCACGCACTTAATGAGACCTCTCGTGAACCAACTGTCAATGAAACTATTTTAAGAATTTGATTTTTTTTTTCAGGGTCAAGGTTGAATCGTTTTTAATCTCGAGGGGTACATTTAACAACCCTTCAATTGGTACTATATTTTGGAATTTTTGATAAAAACAATAAAGATCTCTCTCTAATTAAATCAAAATTGAACCTCTTCATTAAGCGCCACGTATAATGTACACATATTAATACCTAATAAATAATGTTTCAGTTATATTCGTATTAACAAGGTATCACGTTATAGATATTAACTGCAATTAAATCGCGATTACCGAATGATTCGCTTCGATTCGTAGCAGCGCCCATTTCCGCGCAGCGGAATTTCCATTTGCCGCGAAATATGGGTGACGTTGGGTGCTTTATCGTGAAACGGCTATCGATTGCTTCTGCCACTTGGTATTTTTTTGCGATACATATCCCGCGATGAAAACGTTACTACACGTACAAGATATCTACAATAGTAATTAAAGCGACGATTTCAATTTATATTTCTTTTTTTCAATATCAGGTGCAATTGTTCGTGACCAGAACTATTGATCATGAAACAAGTCGCACTTCTCGTGCAGTTATGTGTCAACGTTATTATATGTATACAATATATCGACGCAGCGATGGTCGCGTTAGCGCGTTATTGATTCTGAGTAATGCAGTTTGAGAACTGTTTACGATAGTTCTCAAAGAAACGTCAGGTGCACTCGATTCTCGGTGTTCTGAATCGTGAAACCATTAATGAGTATGTTTCCAAATTTATTATTCTTGATATAGATTTTTCCTGTAGGTTTAAAATAACTGTTGCACAGGTGCTTTAGAATAAGCATAGACAAGTTTATTTTAAAACTGAAAACCTTTAGCTTCATTCACTCGAAAAGAATTATGTACCCCTTTGCTACATTGTTATTCCCCCCGGGAAAGTATAGAAGGAAGAGCATTCGTGAATCGTGACACATAGTTAACAACTGATAAGCGAAAGATATAGAATTTTGTAAATAAACGAGTTGTTTTTCAAAGGCTGAACGGACAGCGTGTCATTCAAATTGATTAAGAGACTGTATGTAGGGCAACAGTTACGCTCACTTGACATATTTTTCGAATACTGAATTGCTGTTTTTTGTTATATTGTTGAAAACACTATACCGTGCACGAAAATATTATTTTTCACAGAAGATAAATTTTAGATAAAATAAATTATAAAATAAAATTTACCACTGTTCTATGTTCAGAAGAATTCATAAAAAAAGGCATTGTCAGTTGTATAAAGAGCAACGACTAAGTAAATAAGTTAAAAATTCCTACGTATGCCCTAACGAGAGCCAACACGCGATTCTACTCGACCGTTGTCTGACCATTATCAGACTATAACTACTGCGCGAGCTTCGTTGCCTCGTCTGATATGATCGGTCCGCAACCACTGACAATGGCCCGGCCTGTATTCGCTTGTTCTTTTCACAGCCGCATCGATGTAGGTCATGGCAACATTATATCCAGGATTTTTTACAATCCGACCACTGAATTACTACTAGCATTCTACTCCTACGCTCGCCTTCTTTTCCTCTTATTCTAAATACTTTTTTTTCCCCTATCTTTTGTCTTTACCTCCTTTTATCCATTTTCTCTGTCTACCTTCTTATTCTTCTTTCTTTCCCTCGACTTTTAGAAAAATTATACAACATTCTAAACATTAGCATAATGAAATTGTGCAGAGCTACCTTATACCACACGATTTCTCTCTTCCAATGCTGATGTTTCATTCCGAACAAAGTACCCTTTGAACGCTTTATCGCGACTAAATGTTTACATACGAATATACTATTCTTGCCAGGAACTTAGAAGCGTATCAAAGGTTTCCTGTGCAACAATAGAAATCTACTCACGCGTGATCGTCCCCCTTTAACCCAACAATGGATCTTCTATAACGGCGGTTCGACGGAGTCGTATTCTATGCAGCAGATATAATCAAGAGAATTTAGGTTGAAGCATTTTTGAGTCGGTCGGTGGATCGATGGAGTTCCCGAAAGGGGTGGTACAGCGTCAAAAAAAGAGACGAGAGTTAATTTCCAGCAGGATTCCCTCCTCGTGGCAGCCATTGTGCACAGGTTGGATCATCGGCTGAATCGTGGCGTAGAAAATTATTCGCGGAACCATTGTTCGCGGAAATTGATCTCTTTGAAGCACGAGACCGACGTATTGTTCCCGGCAGTCTCTTACGAGACGTATCTACTCGCTACGAGGAGGATTATTTGCATTTTGCACGAACGGATCGCATTGTTCTCGGGATTTAACATTTTTGAAATCGAACCGTTGATATGCTTCTGCACGTACTTCTTAGGTGTACGAAGGTGTTTCGAATACCAGCTTTTAATATCTCGAATTTTTGGAAGCATCGTTGAACGCGTAATATAATTATATTAAATTATATTAGTAATAAGTTAATACAGTTGTATTATTTCCACATAATAATTTGTCTATGGTATGCACTATTTTTTTGCCTCACCTATTTTCTACGACTGATGGGGTTAGGGGTTAATTTCCAATAGCATGTTTCTCCGACTATATAAAATAACACTGTTTCTGTTTGAAATTTGTTTCAGCGATCACTCGATAAGCAATCGCGTGGATCAACGGGGTCATCCGACGCATTGCGAGTGCGGCGAGGTGACGAGGCCGTTATGACGACGCGAGGAAACGGCCGAGAGTGCCCTGGCCACGTCGCAATCTGACTTCTAGGCCTTGTTCTTTCACTTCCACTCTCCCTGCCCTCGGTCGTTCGAATTCCAACCCCTTTTCCATCTAAAAATCATCGCACCTTGTACGTTACACCCAACCCTAATCTTCCACTAACACCCGAAACACATGGATACACGTGTACAAATTGATACTGCAGCACCGTGCAAGGAGCAGAACAAGTCAACAGGTACAGCACAAGAAAATGATCCCTCGAAAACGGAGAAATATCTATTTCTCATAAGTGTTCGATTGGAAATAAATATTTATCACAATTTCTCATATAATTATGGTGTAAATTAAAGAGTACCCTTCTCTTGGAATTAATGAATCCGTTTTGAAACCCTTCGAAAGGAAAGCTAACATGACAATAATGAAGAAGCTTCAGAAACTTCAGTATACTTGTGAAAATAAATGAAAACTTTTAAGAATTTATTCACAACTATTTTAATGCCTATCATTGAATGAATTTTTTTAGTTGGCAAAAAATTTCTTTATAATTACAATGCAAAAATCTAATAATCCTGAGGGATTTAATTGAGGGATTGTTTCCTTGTAAACAAAAAATAATAATAAAATCAACAGGACACAGTGTCCTAAAACTACTAAGTTAGAAATTAGGTTACGTAACTGTAATATGGCGATAGTTAAAATGCATAACTGCCCGTTTAAGTCCGACGAAAGAAGAGCGATCGAAAAGTCGATTGAAAATCATCTTAAGATTTATTTTTTATTAGCTCGTAAGAGGTTGTTACAGGGCTATGGTCGATCTAACTCGAAGCACCATTTTTCACGAAAAGCTTCCTTCTTCTATGAGCTTTCTTTCATAGTGATAGATGATTGAAATAAACGTCGAGATTATACAAAATATTGCCAGGTATTCAAGTGGAAATAAAAATTGATATCATATAATTTTCTTCAAAAATATTTTCCTCTGTCTAAAAAAATAGGGCAGATATTTTAACTGGAATAAACTATTGAAGAGAGCCACAATTTTAAATTCTAAATTTGAATCACCAAAAGAAGATCTGTCTCAGACACCTCGTTTCATATCATTTGTATAACAAAAATTTCATTCGGTATATAGGAGGTGCAAAATCTCGTCAAAGAAGTCACTATTTATTTAAAAAATTCTCTCAGCAATATTTCTATGAAACACATCACGATTTTCCAGGAAAAATTTACTGTTTACTCACAAAATTTCAGTCCGTGTCAAAGAAATCGTGGTTCGTTTACGAAAATTCACTTCAGTTACTTTATTTTCTCTCCAATTCTATCTTACTTTAACTTTCGGACGGCGGACCATGGAGAAATTTTAAAAATTAAACAAAAAGAATATTGCTCGACACTTTTAGAGGGAAAAAAACGAGATGACGAAAATTCGCGTGGTCGAATACATAGGCGAGGGAAAAAAACGTTCCCATCCACCGTCTCGACCTTTTAAACATCACGTTCATTTGCATATTACGAGCTGGCGAGGTTGTGTGCGTGTGGAAGTTTGCCAGCAACCAGGAGAATCGGGAAGCCCGCGGTTCTGCTCGAGATTGTCGATACCGCGATTCTCGATAGTGGAAAAAAAAAAGGTTCGCCCTTTCGTTACTTGTCACTATACAACAGGGTTGGCATGCACCCCAACGGACAACCGGAACCACCCTCGGTCGTGCGAAAATCCATCGTCACGATATGCCAATTACCGAGTCTAGTTGCAGGTGTGCAATGTGTAATTCTCATCGAAACGCTGGTAATTCGTATTGCACGAAGAAATTATGATCGCAACTGGATAAAATATGGACGTGTTAAAGAATAGCCCTTTAAATATCCCTAACCTAACGTGATTCACTGATTAGCATTAGGTTTAATGGCAACCGCTCACTTTTCAAGTTTTAAAAGTTAAGAACGGCTAGATAGAAGGAGAACCGAGGAGGAAAAATGGGACAAAAGTTAATCGATCGTTAGGACCGTAGGCCTCCCAACAGCCAATTTATTTTCCTGCCACTAGGAGGTCGTTATTCCGGAGAACGCAAAAATGAGAAAGTTAACGGGCTTGTCGTGGTAAATCGCAAGACGAACGAACGGTCGAAAAAGGAAGAGGCGTCGTCTTCGTTCTCGATATCTTTGAGTATCGAAGCGGAACAATGGACGAAAATAAGAAAAGGGAATCGAAATTAGTTCCTTCGAAAACTCGTTTCTCCACCGAGATATTTAAATTAGTTTATCGAGAAAGAAAAGACGATCTCACAAATTTTAGAATCGTGAAAGTTTCTCTTTTTTTTAACCTATGAAGAAAGAAAAGAGGGTAAAAAAGAGGGCATGAAGATAATTCAGTCGTAGGATCATTACTTTAAATACCCCATTAGGGGGGTATGTAATCGCGTGTAAGATTCATTGCACGGCTAGCAATATGTAATTGTTACTATTACAGGTATTAAAGAACATTAACAAATTACTTGAAGCACGCGACGATACGATAACACAGGCCATCGTTTCGCGAAATCTTGGCAAAAACGGTGTGACTCGATATCGTGCAGAACCGACGGAAGTAGATATATTGATTAATCGTAGAAATCTATGTGCACCTCGTACAAGTCACGGTGTGACTCGAAAAATATTGTGAAATTCATTTTATGACCTTTTTACAGATTTCTCTTCTCGATTATTCATGCATTTAATTAGGATTTTCATTTATAATTAAAGACACGAATGGATAAAGGTGTTACATAAACGATGTAACATTTTTTCAAAAAATGATATCCAAAGGGACTCTCGAAGGTTTGGTAGCCCTGGCCCCCAGAAATTTTAAAGGGGTACACTTGTCAAATGGTTTCAAAAACTCGATATTTTCTGGAAACTCTCTTTTTTGAAAGTATCACCAGTGACCACCACAACAGTCAACACGTTAATCACGTAATGAAAGGAAAAAAAATAGCATCGTTGAAGTGCTCTTACGTTCCGTTTCAATTTAACTGAATTCATCCGTCATAATGTCACCAAGGTGGTATCGAGCTCATAGTAGTGTAAATTTTGCTGAGTAAGAAAAAACTTTGAGACGAATACACTTTTCTGCAATGCAGGACTGAGTAAAGGAGTTTGACCTAGATTTTCAAGGGGTACTCGTACGCAGTCGAGGAACTGAAATTTCTATGCACGAACAAACGCTACACGTCGATTAATGCGTTCCTAACGATCGATGAAATTCTTTTCTCCAAATTCTTCTTCCTCTGCTTGAAAATTCTTCTCGTCTCGAGAGGAATTCAAGTACCACCACCTAAAGGAATCTATTCTTTAAAACCATCTCTGTTGCTAATGATAAGTTGATAACGATCATTCTAAGTCACACTCTCGCACGAAAATTTTTAAATGATTTTTTTTAAATTTTAGCTTCGGTGGTACGCGTTTATGAAGAGGTTGAAACCCGTTATTTTAGATCATAATAATTTGATCATCCACTGGAACCGTCTCCTAAAATTCACATAAACTTTAAGAATAACGTCGCTCGAATAATTTTCAGCGATACCGTATTTTCGCATCGGTTAATCTCACGTCGGAACGCCGTAAAATGTAGAACGAACCTCCATGCCCTCTTTCGTGTTGTTTCCCTCTTTTTTCCCTCCCTTTTTCCATTTTCATACTGACATTTATGCTTCGAAAGTTCACGAGATCGCGTGCTTCTTTTTGCTGAACGGGAGGCACATGGCCAGCTTTTTGGAGCCGCTCAAGTTCCTTCTGGCATGCAAATCATTTGTATAGCCGCCGTTTGAATCAAATACATTTATAAAACAGTAAGAAAATATACCAAACGCTGCAATTATTGCAATGAAAATTTTATGTAGTTTGTCAACTCGCGGATAATAGTGTTAAAATAACGCACGCAGCATCGTGCGTCATCAGTTTATCAATTTTGTAAGCGCGTTGCTATTAATTTCATTATAACGTAATGAGCAACTTTTCGGTTAATTATCCCGCTAATATTTGTTGACCATGCAAATTGGCCGCGATTATATAACATGTGCATCGTGTCAGAAAATTGTTAATCAAAATAGAATCACTTTTGATAATCAATTTTCGTATAAATACGATAAAGACTAAAGAAAATAATAATTTTTCCTATATAAAGTGGACGAACTAAATGTAATATATAAAATATTTCAACAAAACCTCGTATAAGATGATAGTTTTTCTAATATGATTTTTGTTCCAAGGAAATGCATGTCAAGGTGTTTAAAAATACCTGAACAATAGAATTTTCTATTAGTTGGAAGAAACATTGAGAAATGAAAAGTTGAACGGCAATTTAGTGAACGTCGAAAAGGAAATAGGGAAACGAGCGTGAAACGGAATTAATTTCGTGTCCCTCGCATTCTTTACCGTCGAAACCTAATGCCAAAAATCAATCTTCTTGCATCGTGGAAGCGAAGAAACGTTCGACCTAGGCAATAGATATATTCTTCGACGAGCTAGCTGGCAATCTCCTTTCCATGTGTTGTAGAAATCAATTTCCGATATCGTTATACCTATGCACCTACATAATCATTAGAAGTACAAATTACTTCAATATTGAAGAGTGAACGATAATTGGTACATCACAATATAGTTTATAAATTTTTATAATAATATGTCCTACACCTCTAAAACCTCTGTAATTATACAAACGTGTATACCTGGCAATACATAATTTGATTACCCATCACAGAAGAAAGCTTACAGAATTAAAAAAATTTTAATGTACATTAAGTAACATTTCTTCGTGTATGTAATCAAATCGTAACCAGACACTACAACAACGGCTCTAAATCGCTTTTATGGCTACGAAGAAAAATGTGCTTCGAGATTTAGCATTCTGTTCTCGTATAATTAAGTCTTGCAATGAGGACCCTTCAGTCTTACTTTGTTCCTTTCTCTCCAGACGAACTCGTAGAGAATCAAACTAGCTTAAGTCTAACGTAGATAGAGACAACACTAGAGATTAAGAGGTCGAAGGCAGACATCGTCCTCTCACGAGTAATTAATAATAAACAATTAACCTTACAAATAAAATGAAAAAGAGATAGAAGAAAATTGATGGAAGGACGAGGTTTGCTTTCGACGTTGCGTTAATTAATTATACACATATGGGCACTGCCAGGCTTGCAACTCTGATCAAAAGGACAAACCGGCACGGCCAATCAGAAAATTTCTGATCGTCGACGATGAAAATTGAACTATCAAAAACTCAAGGAAGATAATTTCGAGACAGCTTTCTCTATAAATGCCGGAGGAAAGCTCTGACCAAGCTTCGTTAAAGACCACTTGCGTGCAAAGATAAAAAAATAATAAATAGGACAAAAAATATATGGTCACGAGCTTAACGTACCAAAAAAAAAAAGAAAAAAATCGAAGCAGCTGAAGAGAGACTTAGAAATTCAAAGACGTTCACACTCTAGAAATATTTAACCGAGTAACGAGCCGAAATTTCGTTAACGATTTTGTACGCTAATTCCTCAGCTACTTTGTATACCCTGCTAGGGTGTCTTAGAGGTACGATTCTTTTTTAATTGAAAAGCAACGTGACTCTTCCTGCCGATAATTGGAAAAGCAATTCAGATAATAATGTTCTGCTTTGATGATTATCCCATTTCAAATTACAGATCTTATTGGAAGGCATACATAAAATAATAATTTTATTATTTTATTCGATTATTTTTCAAGCAAAAAAGAGTTTCTCTCTGATACAAATTTAATGAAATTCTCGCAATTGTTTCTAAAACAATTATTTCAAGATAAGTCTACTCTTCGTTCAACAAGAATTAATTTGCAATTTCAATATAAGATTACTATAATAAAAACAGATTTGACTTTAAGTACCTTCAAATAAGGCCAGTAATCTGAAATGAGCCAATTAAAATGATAAATTTGTCTACAAAAAAATTTTTCTTGGTCATCGACAGGAGAGACAGAATGAAAGAAAAATGAAAAAATTCAAGGAGTTGTACTCGTAATTACGTAGCTATGTTTTAAAAGTTTATCGACAAACACTGTACACATGATCATGCGCATACAGAACACACCTCTGTACAGAGAGACACGCCAGTGTAAATTAGGCAAAGCTGTAGCCTAGCAGCAGAGCAAACGAAATCGAGTTGAAGTTCACTGAATGGAGATTCACGATAAGCGCGATGATATGTTATTTGGAGATGTACGAGAAGCCGAAAATGTCAGGAACCTGATGGGCCGGGTCGGGTCCCGAATGATGTGAGATTTTTGGTCTCGAAATTCTCGGACCCTACCTGATTCTGAAAAAATAAAGAAATTCTACAATCTAACCCGACAGTTTCAGATTCTCACACATCTCTATGTGTTATCAATCGAGTGTTAAGAGTATTCTAATAGCCGCCCGATGTTGGCATTTAGCTGGTCTAAACCGCAGAGGGTTTGTTTCTACTAATTATATACGTATATAATGAATATACATATATTATTATTATATATACATATATATATAGTGCTGTTGAGTTTTATTGGTAAATGAGATTATAAAAAGTCGATATTTCTACCAAGACGTTTGTAAAAACGTATACGAAATGGACGGAGAGTAGTGTGGAACGCGAAATCTTGAATCGATCGAACTCTCGCTGGCACAGAACGATTTGAACTTCTATGATAGCCGAATCATCGAAAACTAAAAATGAAATTAAGACACGAAGAAATATGTGACAGTCAAAGCGTTGACCGATGATGTGTTTACCAATTTGTACGTCGAAATTTTATTTCGACGTTGATCTCGTTTTCCAGAGTAATAACGCTTCTGAGTTTTGTTTTCCTTTAATTTCACGCAGCAGTGAATGCATGAGATATTGGATTAATATGGAAATTATAATGAATTTTGATGAACTTCTTAAAGGGAAACTGTGAATTGCACGTTAAATAGATATCTCTCCTCTGACACAAAAATGCAAACGTATAGAAAAGTGAAATTAACACTTGCTAGAAATAAATGACACGGGTTTCATTTCGTGTAAGAAACTTGTTAAGGTACTTGAAAGCAATGCGAAACGATTTTCTGGTAAAAGAAAGTATTAAAGCTTCAGTAAGATTCTTGGAAACTTTTATAATAAAACAATATTAAAAGTTTCTAAAGAAGAAATTTTTTTAAATAACTCTGGAAACTGTTAATAAAAGTACTGAAATAAATGTCACGAAAATTAAATGAATTACTTCGGTGCTTTAACGCATACGTAGCTTTGAATTTTATTTTGTTATATAGAAAGGAGATTAAAGTGAAGAAAGTTATTATCCAATTTTATATAAAAGTGAAGAAAATGGCAATTGTAAGTGGAATAGGAACGTTAGAACTGGTTACCGAACATTTCGGGATCATTGAGTTAAAGAGGTATCGAAAGTTCGAGTTCCCTGTCAGACGTATGTGCAACTTCATCCTCGAGTGCAATCTCTGTTCCGTCGCTGTCTTATTTCGAGCACTGCTCCACCGTCCTGACCTTAATTGTAGAGTAACCCAGATTACAGATGCCGAGAGGGAAACGTAGATAGAGGCTAGGAAGAGCGAGAGGGAGTAGCTAGACGAACGAACAATCTCAGAAACGATACGGCCAGCCAGCTTTGTCATTAAGGGAAACCCGGATCACCCAGCCTTGTTGCGGCTTTTCTAATTTTCCCGGCTATTTTACCCACGGCTGTCCTAGTCCTGCAACCAACTTTCGCGTTATTCGATGCCCAACATTCGTTCTTTCAACTAACAGATCTAACTTTTATTGTTTAACACTATAACAGCCGGCATTTCTCTTAAAATTGCCTACAAAAATCATAGAACATGAACGCTTATTAAATCTGTTCTTCGCAGTGAATTATACAGATTGATAATTGAAAAAGCCAGCGACGTGTTAGAGTAAAAGAGAAACATGAAAGGGCGTGGGTCATACGGGTAACCCGTTTAATCAATTTTTCACCTAGTTTCATCGTCGAGCGACCTGTTTCTAATAAAATCAATTAAAGATCAAAAGCTAACGCGACACGTGAGAAAAAGTGATTTTTTGTTAAAAAAAAAAGACAACAATAGAAATCATGGACTATTCCTAAATTCGATCTTTCAAGGATTAAATTAAAAGTGAAGAATTTCTTAATCAAATTTTGATTTCTATTAAACTGAATCATACTGGTGTTACACATTTAACTATGATAAAATCAAATGATAAAATTGGTATTATTCTTCGTATCTATAATTGATTTTCGATGCTTCATTAAAATGAGCGCATAATTGTCAAACTACTATTTCTTTTGTTAGATTTACCTTTGAAAGCATGTTTAATTTGTCCGTGAGCATATCAGATAATCGTCAATAAACTCGACACTGGAAGCGAGTATAAAATATTTGGCTGTTCGCGTTCGCGTATAATACCGAACGAAATATTCGTGATTACCGTTTCGTCGAGGGAGAGATATTGTTTTCCGGCCACAGGTCGTTGTGTTTGTAAATGCCGATGCAAAGCAACGTGTGCGTGCAACGTCGGTTAGATAGCTCAATAACGAGCATTGTGTGATTCTCGTGACCCGCGTCGCATCGATCAGAACGCTTCGCTTCTCGAGCGTTATCATTCGCTGCTTTCCGATAGCGATGCGACCAATACCAGAGAAAAACGTCGCGAACAGTCTGAAAAGTGGAAATTCTTGAAAAGCTGTTCTCACTGTTCGCTGAATTTCACCGATTACCATCGCTAATTTCATCCTACTGTCCGGAAATGCGAGCATTCGCCAACGTAGATGCCTCGCCGCGAGAATTTATCACGATCGTTAAACGAATTTGCATTTTATGAAGATGGTATCGAGAGTAGGGAAAATGTAAAATCTCGCTTGAGAATAGGGACACGGTTGAATTCAAGCTTGCATTTTAATTTGCTGGTGAATAGTAAGAATGTTGTTCAAATAAATAATGCAGTAATTATGGGATGAAGGAAAGTAAACGAGAAAACAAGTAAAGACGATGGAATAATAATTTTGTGTTCACCTGGCTTCCCCAGGGAAAATAGCGACGTTCCCTCCCACCCTTCAGAGTTCTCTGAGTTTTAGGTACCAGAGTTCCTAGGCCTCCCCTAACACTTGTAATAATTTCAACAATTTTCGATCGGATAAAACAAAAGTAATTAGAAAGTGTATTCAATCCCGGGTACAATAAATATGAATGAAAATACGAAAACTTTGGAGCGAGCTCTTAGAATCGATTTTCTCTAAAGTAAGGTTCATCCGATAAACTTTTATTCCACACATTCAATCTATTATTCCACGTAGAATCTGCTACGGAGCACCGTGTACGTGTACGAACAGAATAAAATTTATTATCCCATTTTCACAGAAGACGAACTGCGTTTTAAAACACCACTGCGTGTCATACTGTAAAAAAAGTGATATCCATTATTTTCAGAAATATTTCAATGTCATGGCTCTAAAAATGTACGTTTAACACTTTAACTGTCACATCGAAGTTGCTGAAAATTTTATTAAGTATTTTTAACCGATCTTGTCTGTTATTTTTACAATATTTCAAATTTATCTTCCTTTTTACGATCGAATCTTTGTTTTATTTTTACAACGATCCATTTTCTCGACAAGGGTGTCGCATGATTGCAATGTAACTGGAAATTTTTCTTATCAAGAAAATCGTTCTTTCTAGCGAGAGCACGACCAATTGCTTACCAGGTGTAATGTTACATAAAACTTAATATGTAAAGTGATACGTATGTACATGTATAACATACAAGATTCCTGATTTTGTAAAACCAGCGACACGTGCTACATAGAACAACAATAAAGGTGATATATGATGTTTTATAAAAGGGAACTCGTTCTCTGAGGTACGTGATCTTCATTTCCCCGCAATTTTTCCTACCCATTTTCCTTTTCCACCTGTTCAACATGATGAGAACCGCACGTACGTACATGCTCACTTACAGTACGAAATTTTTATTCAGGTTTTTGAAACACGTACGTACAGTCTGTCACGTATGTCTGTTATGTCATTTTATAAATGAACGTCAATTATGGTTACACAAAGAATTAATTATCGGAATAAAAAATAAAGCAAATTTAAAGTAAAGAACGAAGTATACTTTTCTCAGCACCGGATCCCACCTAATCGTGGCTTTGCGTCACTGGTCGAACGTTTACTTATTTGCAAGGGTGTGGCGGACTCACCCTGTATATTCTATCTGACTGACTACCATTCAGTTTCTGGGCGCGGTGGAAGGTTCAATGAAGTTCGTGTCAGAAACGTAAATTCATAAATTATAAGTTGACCATGAACCAGCGAGGGTCAGTGCTAACTTTGGATCAGTTGAATTGTCCGCTGACAAAATGTATCGATTGATTTTTACCGCATTACAGATAGCTATCCGAACGGATGTACAGTAGAATACTGGCCTATTTTGCTTTGTGCGACTTCCTGTCCAACCACACCGGCCTCCCCCGATTGCCACTGAGCGTTGGGTAAACTCCAAATGGAAAAGCTTTCGCTCTAACTCGATGCCTGCCTCTACCTGATTTACGTTAAACTAATTGCCACGGCAACCTCGGCCAAAATCAACCAGCTCGAGATAAATGTCACTTCGTTTCGCGTAACATTGTTGCAGCCTAACAGAATGCTCGTTGAGAGATAGAGACAGATAGATCTCTCGATGGAATTCCTCGCGAAAGTAATTGGCTCTTTAGTTTGCTCGACGATTGATCGATACGTTATTGAGTTGCACCAAACAACCCTTTGATTTTTTAATGAAACGCCGTTCTGTTTTTCGATTGATCTACTTGTTTTGTTCGAACAAGAAACGTTTTATTCGCGATTCGAGGTTTTTCGAATTCTGTTTACACGTGGAAGCTTTTTTTATTGTTTCGTGTACCTCTGAAAATCGAAATAATCCTTTTGCGTGGATGTGTTGGGAATAATCGATAAAACCTTGTCCTGACCGAGCCAATTGCCGATTTAAATTAATATTCCTGAATGGTTTGCAATATTTTCGAGCTATTTAGGTGATTAAACCTACCTATATTATTTCAAATGTATTGCCACATCTGGCTGCCAAAATTGAATGAGACGAATCACTAGAAGACCGCGTATTGATCGAAAAATATTGCATAATTATATGAAATTCAAAGCTTTATAATTAATTAATTCTACCTCTCAAACTTCTCTTTTCAATAATGAAATTTCAAAGTTTGTCGAATCATTGTAATCAGGAAAAAGCTTCAGAAGACTCGCGAGACCAACAACTTCAATCCCGTTTAATTTGTTCTCTAAGCT